TTAGAATCCACGTATAAGTGAGATCATATGGTATTTGTCTTTCTCTGACTGACTTATTTCACTTAGCATAATGTTCTCTAGTTCCATCCATATTGTTACAGCAGTCCTAGAATTTTTTATTTGAACCTGGCTTTCTGGGTCATCTTGAAGGTATCCTCAGAGTAAGAGGATAGAATTTATTTATCTTTGTTGGCATGATTTATAACTTTTAAATATTCAGATGAATTGTAAGGGGGCTCCAGTTGACTTCTGGCCCTGGACCCACAAATGTCAGGAGCGGGGCTGGGATTAATTTCTTGTTCCGTGGCTCCTGTGGCACACACCACCTTTCCTCATGGCCCCCATTCTAGGCTGTCAGCTCTTCTCAGGCAGTCCTGGGGCTAATTCTTCTGTTTCCCTGCTGCCTGGAATGCTGTTGGTCCACCATAAATCATTATCGAATAATGAGCGAAGAGGTTCAGCTGCTTGCCCAAGGCCTGGCCCTGATCTTGGCGTTCGTCACAGTGGCCTCTGGGTTGACTGGCTGGCCAGAAGGGAGACCTTTGAAAATTGGCTGTACCTTGTCTAGGTGAAATAGCAGGGAGGGCTGGGCTCCCAGACCTAGGCTCTGGTCTCTGCTCTGCCATTTTCTTGACTTTGGACAAGTCACTTCACCTTTCTGAGCCCCAGTCTCCTCATCTGTAAAAAATGGGGGCAAATAACACCAACCTCAGCATGTTACCATGAGGATCAAAAGAAATGAGACCTTTCACAGGCACAAAGTATTCAGCAGGTCTTCCATAAATGCTTCTTAAGTCAACATGTATTAAAGACTTACTGTGTGGCAGGTGCTAGGCTCTGTTTCCCATTGCAGGTACCTCTCTCCTGGAGGTTAGGCCTGGGTACTCGCTGCAGCTCCCTCAGCTCACACTCTCTTCTTAGCTCAGCATCTCTGGGCACCTCGGAACCCCATTCCGTTTGGCTGCTGGTTGAGTGGGATCTCATTGGCCCTAGTTTGTGTGGGCTTCAGGACCCTGAAAGGGAATTCCACGTTTTTCACTTCTGGCTGTGCTAGCAGGGCTGGTTGAGACAGATGGGGGGACAGACAGACCAATGAAGTTAACAGCTGTGGTTTGTGGCCTTTTAGCTCAGCCAGACACCCCAGAGTTTGAGAAGGGACCCAATGCCTCCTTGGCAGGCTGTTTCAGAGATTATGACACTTAATCTGAGATGAAGATTTGGTGTTAACCCAAAAACTTGTCTCCACTTCCCTTGGCTGTCCCCTCAGGGGCAGCTGAAAACCCGGAGGGCCAATTTGGGTGTGAACCCTGGCTGTGCCATTTTCTAGCTGGGTGACTTGAATTACTTAGCAGCCTCAGTGGCCTCATTAGGAAAATGGGAGCCGAACGATCCCCAACTCACAGGGCGGTTGTTTGTAACAACCTTTTTGGGCTCCCCCTTCTCAGACTGTTACCTCGAACTCAGTCCTTCCGTCTTTACCCTTTTGACCTCAGAACTGACTACTGACAAGTTTTCTTTACAGACACCCCTCACACTAAGCTATTGCTGCATCTTCATCTTCATCATCTTCATCATCATCATCCACATCCATTTTTAGGGCACTATGTGCTAAGGAGTTTATACATAGTATTTTTGATATTCTAGGTATTTTCTCACTTCTATTATGAGTTCTTTGACCAATAAATTATTTAAAAGTTCATTTTGACATTTTCAAGGGGCCAGCCGAGTGGCTCAGTTGGTTAAGAGCTCGCTCAAGAGTGCGAGCTCTGAGCAACAGGATCGCCGGTTCGATTCCAGGCCCGAGCTGAGCTGCCACTGAGCTGTCAACAGGTGGCAGGATGGCTCAGCTAAAAAACAAAAGTTCATTTTGACATTTTCAAATGCATGGGGTTGTTTTTTCAAAAAAGATTTTATTGGGGAATTGGGAGAGGGGAACAGTGTTGGGGAATTGGGGGAAGGGGAGCAGACAAGTTGCTGTTCTTTGGCTCTTCAGTCAAGTTGTGGAGGACGTTGCCTCACTGGCCCATGTTGGTATTATCATTGCGCTCTTCCTGGGTGAGGCAGATCGGTCGCCAGCCTTGCCTCTGGGCGGCCATTCACAGCAGCTCTTGGCAGCTCACACTGGCTGCTGGCCACACATGGTAGCTTATGGCAGCCCACTGCAGCAGGGGCTACAGCCTATGCTGTCGCCAGCAACTCATGGCAGCCCAGCTCCAAGTTGAGCTGTTGTTCACTGTCTTAGCTGTAGAGGGCAGTGTCACTGGCCGTCATATGGGATCCGAACCGGTGCCCTGCTGCACAGAGGTGGCGTCCCAAGCCAGCTCTTAACCAATGCGCCACTAGGCCGGCCCCTGTGTTTTCTTTTTATGTTGTCTTTTTGATTATTGAGTTCTAGTTTAATTCTATTGCTGTCAGATAGTGAGATAAGTATGCTCCTTTTGAAGTGGCTGAGACTTGCCTTATTATCTGACATGCGGCCACTTTTGTAAATCTATACTTGAAAGCAAAAGTGTGTTTGCCCATTGTTGACTGGGGTGCTCAAAATATTGTTAGATTAAGCTCGTCAGTTGTGTTTTTAGATCTTCTACATCTTTACTGAATTTTGTTGTCTGTTGAAATTATCAATTCCAGAGGGAGGTGATTTAAATCTTACTTTACTTTAGTGGACTTGTCTATTTTTCTATTTCAGCTTTATGATTTTGAAACTATGTTATTAGGTGCATATAACTGCAAAATTGGTTATATCTTCCTGATAAATTGAGGCAGGCAAGTATCTTATCATTTCCCTCTGTGGGGTTGATTTTTTTTTTTTTCAAGTTTACCCAAGGCTGTTATCTTCCAGGCACCTTGGGCTTTCGTGAAGGGCAGATTGTCTCTGATCCAACCTCTTAACCTTCTGAAGCCCCAGGTTCTGTCTTGTTACTTTCTGGATTTGTGCCTTTGGGGATTTGTCTTTTCTTGCCAGCCCAGCCTTGCACTGAAAATAACACACACTCACATTTTATCTCTTATCTAGCATTTCTAGCTTGTTTTGTATCAGGAGAGTTTCTCTGGAAATTAAGTCTACCTTATTGCTAGAAATAAGTCTCTGCTAAGCCCTTTACATGAAACTTTATTTACTATTCAAAACAGTTCTATGAAATCTGATCAACATTTTTTCAGAATGAGAAAACCAGGGCTTAGGGATTTATGACTGGGTGTGGATCCTAGCTCTGACATTTACCAGCTGTCTGGCCTTGGGTAAACCAGTCACTCAAGAGGACACTGAGCTCAGAGAGCACAGCAACAAGCCCTTGCAGGACTGCTGTTCAGCTTCGAAGGACACACGGAAAGCGCCTGCCTCTGCACCTGCTACAGCGTTGGTGCTCAGAAGACGTCAGTGACCATTGTAGTCTACAGGGAAGGGACATGTGCCTGGTACTAGGAGGCTTGTCTTCTCTTCACTGGGAGGTGTTGACAAGGGCAGTTAGTTCAGTGTCTGCCTGAGAGTTTCCTGGGGGACCATAAAAGGCACACTCCCCTGACCCCACCTCCTGCAAGGTGCTGATTCTGATGCATGACCAGGTTAGGACACCTGTGTCACCTGAGGTGTGGTTCATGAAGTGTTGTCCATCCCATTTCACTGGGCTGTCCTCTGGTGGGTTACAGAAAGGACCCTGTGGTGGGGGTTGCTTCCCTCATCTACCACAAGTAGCCAAAAAGAGAGATAGAGCAGCCTCCCTTGCCTGGACAGCAAGCAACTTGCATTTATCTTATTTTAATTTTTGAATAGGTAATAAATGCATAGGGTTCAAAAATCAAAATGGTATAGAAAGAAATGCATTGAGAAGTCTTGCTCCACCTCTGCCTTGCCTACCCTGTTTCCGCAGCACCTTATAGGTTACCACTTTTTATTACTTTCCCTATACAAATTCAAGCAAAAACAAACATTTATTCCTATTTCCACCTGCTTTTCTTATGCAAAAGATAACATATTATATATACTATTCTGCGCCATATTTTTTTCTCCCAAATATATCCTGAAAATCTCTCCATACCAGTTCCTGGCACCCCCATTTTTTTAATTTATTTTTTTTTTTACAGCTGCATAGCTTTCCATCGTGGGGACATATAATTGTTTATTTAACCTTTCACTGCCCAATATAGTAGCCACACATGGCTATTTACATTAAACTTCATTATAATTAATTAAAATTTGAAATTCATTTCCTCAGTTGCACTAGTCACATTTTTGAGTGCTTAGTAGCTACATGTGGCTAGAGGCTACCATATTGGATAGCAGAGATAGAGAACATTTCCATCATCACAGAAAGTTCTGTTGAGTTGCTGGTTTCCCTGATCCACAATAGCCAGACCCTGGTTTATCTCCTGTCCTCAGGCAGCTCTGTGATGATGAGGCCCATCCCTGGGATGCAGGGGAACTGAATGTGAGCTGTCCTGGGGATGCTGGGTCTTCAACCTCAGATCTCGAAATCTGGAAGGCTCCTGTAAGAGGGCTTTTGATTTTGGGGCAGAGGCTTGATCAGAGTCTGGAAACAAGAGTGGCCCTGGGTGGTGGCCAGTTAGCTCAATTGGTTAGAGTGTGGTGCTGATAACACCAAGGCTGCCTGGTTTGATCCCTCCATGGGCCACTGTGAGCTGTGCCCTCCCTAAAAGAGTCAATTATGCCTTTGTAGCATGAAAGGAATGTGTAATCAATGACTATGGCTCTTCCCCAATAAAATTAAAACAAAAAAATTCAAGTCTCAATTAAAAAAAAAAAAAAGCGTGGCCCTTAAGCACAGGTTTCCTGTTCAAACCTAACCAGCTACTTACTCCCTCTTCCAGGACGGTCAACATGCAGTCCTGTTTTCTTTTACTCAATATTTAAGTCCTGTGCTGGGGATGGAGGGATGGAAACGATGACACAGTCTCTGCTTTGGAGAAAAAAAGAGGCAGATCATTACCTGCCTTGTGACAAAGACTTTCAAAGAGGCCTCATCGAAGATCAAAGGCCTGATAAAGCCCTCTGTTAATGAGGATGTGGGGAATCTCATCCATTGCTGGGGGTCGCAAATCTGTGCAGACTGTTTGAAGGGCAATTCTGTGAAAACCTATCCAAAATTTAAAAGTACATAACCTTTGACCCAGCAGAGTGATGTTTATGTTTGTCTTATAAATACACACATATGTGCAAACAAATATATGTACCACGATATTTCCTGCAGGCAGCAGGCTGACACAACCTAAATATCCACTAGGAGGGGGATACGGAAATAAATTGTGACACGCCCATATGATGGGAGACTATGTAGATTTTGTAGAGGCAGATACATTATTAAGTGAAAAGTGTGCTAAGTGCCAAACAGCATGCTATCATTTGTGGCAAACGCAGACATGCACACACACTGCTTATATATGCCCCAAAGATCACTGAACTGTTTTTCTTTTTAACTGTGCACATGTATTACCTTTTATTTTTATTTTTTTAAAAAAGACACCAGCTGACTAACAGTGAGCAGGGAGCGGGAGGGAGGAGATTCCTGGGGAAACCTTCTCAGTCACCTGAGCTCTGAGTGTCCCCAGTGACTGCACAATGTCTCTATTGGAGGTGACAAGGCGACAACAGTCCAGAAATGTCAACCACGCTGTGACTCCATCTTCATCGCTGCTGGAGGCCTCACCCTCTCTTGGCTGTCATACTGCCTGTGCCCAGCAGGAGGAAGCACAGACCCACCAAAGCATTGGTTCCAAACTTTACCAAGCGTCCCTTCTAGGATTTCCTCCTCTGTGGACCATGATTGGAAAGATACTTTCTGTCAAGCCAACCAAATTTATTCGGTAATCATTGATTAATTTTTCTCCCCCTGCTATTTTTGTTGTTGTTGTTGTTCCTCACAGTTCTGATCAGCCCACGAGAGACAATGTAGGCTTACTGGGCTGATCGTTTTCCATGGAAGAAGTCCTACTTGGCCCAGCCTGATTTCCACAAGACCAGGGTGAGGGGTGGTTGGCAGTGGCCTGAGCACCCCTAGGGACTGAGGGGGCAGGCTGGCAACTACTGCACTAGAGGCTCCCCACCCTGCTCGGATTTTCAGCTGCAGGGCTCTGCTCCTGCCCTGGGCAAGAGGAAGGAAATGTGAACACCTGGCACCACAGACTTGACTGGTGGCAGCCACTCTCCCAGATGTGTTTAGAGTCTGTCCCTTGCTAGGCTGTAAGCAGCCCAAGCACAGGGACTCTTCTCATCTGCCACAGAACCTCCATCAGTGAGCATAGTGCTGGTCACACAGTTGGTGCTAAGAAAAAGTTTGTTGTTAAATGGAAAGAGACAGCCGTTGAGGAGATTGGGGACTAAATTTTTTAAAAAGAAAGAAAGCGTTCCTAGCTAATCTCAAGGGCAAGAACCCAAGGGCAAGACTCTGGTCTATCCTAGGCTGGAGGTGAGGGCAGTGGGTACAGAAGATCACCTTCTTAGCATGCCCAAGGAAAATTCTGCTTTGTCTTATCTTTTGGGACCCTGGCTGGGACAGGAAATAAGTGACCACAGCTCTCACCAACCTGAGGCACTGATGACCTTGGCAGAAGAAAGGCTTACATCAGGGCAACCTGGAGGAAGGGGCTGGCTCATTCCAGGGCCTTCCTTGAGATTGGATAGTTAATTTCCCAGCTCCAGTTTAAATTCTTGTCAGTGGTTTGTCATTTGAAAGGGAGGGCAAGCTATAAGGGGAGGGGACACCTTTGGTTCCTGGCCTGGCCTAGAGAAAATCCAGGGCTCATTAATGGGCCCTCCCTTCTCAATGCCTTGGTAGTGCAAGGAGGGACCAATTCTGGATTCTCACAAATTAAATGAGGTATGAGAGGAGTAACTGAAAAAGAAAAGCTTCAAATTCAGGCCAGAGAGTGTGCCCAAACCTGGGGTTCTGCACCCCCCCCAATACATTCTCACCCTTCTGGTTCATCCTGGATGAGAGGGGTAGTGGGGCACCAAGATGGCAGCTCCAAGGCAGTGTAGATTTTGCAGGCAGAGAGGAGGCCTATTTCTGCCCTTTATTAGCTGTGTGCCCTTAGACAAGTCACTTAACCACTCTGAGCCTCAGTTTCCCTATCTCTAAAAGGAAGCTATCAACACCTACCTTCCCTGGTTATTGTCAGGATTAATGAAAGAAGACCTCTGGAAGTCTTGCTGTAGTTGTCAGACATCAGAGATTGTTATTCTCCAAGATGAGAGGCTACCCGAGGTCCCCAGAGGTGACAGCGTCAAGGAGATTTTTTTTGCCTTCTGCAGTGCCTGCTCCTTTCCCAGCCTGGATGCAGGCTTTAATCCTCCTTTCCCAACCCCCACGTTTCTCCTTGAGAGGCCGTAGTGGTCCCTACATTCTTGAATTCTGCCTTTTTCCACGGGCGCTCCCATTCTAAAATCACTGGGGATGTTGGCAGAGGCGCAGAGTTGGTCCAGGGTGGGACCGATAGCGGGCTATCGGCTGGAATGGGTCTGCGCCCCCACCCCCGCCCTGCTTTGGGGTTCTCATTTGCAGATGGTTCCCTCTGGTCCTCAGCTCTTCTCTGGGCTAAACAGAGGAGAGAAACAAGGGGTGGGGGGCCTGGAAGGGGGTTCCCACCTTCTCAGTCGGGAACCAGAGACAGGGACGCAGCCATTGCGCCCCAATGCTGTACTGTTATAGGTCTCCAAGCCGCGCTCACAGTTGCTGACAATCCTCGACTCCGAGGTTTGCCCCCTCCGGCCCCCAGCGTGACCCCCTTTACCCAGATCCCTCCAATCCCCCGGCTGGGAGCGAGCGGGAGCCTGCGGTTCTAGGACCCGGAGGCGCTGCCTTGCGCGCTGCCGCCTCTGCCTAGCCTTGGTCGCCTCCCGCTCCGGCAGGTGAAGCGGCACCGGCCGCCTCCTCTGCGGCAGGTGAACCGGGTCGGCAGCCCCCTCCCCGCCGCGCCATGGCTGCGGCCGACCCCTGGCCAGCACCCGGCGCCCGCCTCCTCCCTCCAGCCCGCCCCCCTAGGGCTGGGTGCGTAGAGGCGGCGGCGAAACGCGGTTTGTGCTCACCCGGAGCGACAGCAGAAGTTAGAGACTCGCCGAGGGGGGAGCCCGCGCCGCAGCTTCCTGCCCCCGGCCCAGCCCTTTGGCCCCGGCGGCCTGTAGCCTGACTTCCTCCCCCCACCCCGCTGCTCGCCGCCCGGCTCCTCAGACGGGGCCGCTGCGATGGGACGCCGCGCCCCGGCCCCTGCGCGCCGCTGAGCCGAGCGCCCGCGTCGCCAAGCCCCTGCCGCCGCTGCCAGCCGCTGCTCACCTTGCCCCCCTAGGCCGGGATCCTCGTCCCGTGCCCCCCGGAAAGCTGGATTTCAGCGGCTGGAGGCGCCTGGCCGGCTGGGTGGGGACCACCATGGGCAACGCAGCCGGCAGCGCGGAGCAGCCGGCGGGCCTCGCCGCGCCATCCCCTAAGCAGCCCGCTGCGCCTAAGCAGCCGATGCCCGCGGCCGGAGAGCTGGAGGAAAGGTTTAACCGAGTCCTGGTGAGTGTAACCTGCAGCGCGCAGGGCACAGCGGGGGGCGGCAGGGGCTCAGCACGCGTCCCCGCCCCCGGGGACTCAGGTGCCGCTTGGAGATCCCCGGCCCAGTGGCTGCCCCACCACGGGTGGGACTGACAGTGTCTTCTTTCAGAGTGACATAGCACTCTGCCCCCCAAACTTTCTTCTTCACTCACCCAGTCTCCCTCCCCAACACAACCCCGTCCCCAGAGCTCCTGGGTCTAAAGGTCTAAGCAAAAATGTTCTGTGAGGAAGTTGGGAGCGGAGCACTCAAGGGGTTCCCGGGGCACCCCCTGCCCCACTGCACGCAGGCCCAGACGTCCCCCCCGCGGGTCTGGAGCATCTGCTTGTGTCTCAGGGTCAGAGACTGCAGGGGTTACATTTCTCACTTCCTAGGGGCTGGAGGCCGAGTTTAAGGTGCTTGGACCTGATTTGTTGGTGCCCAGGCTGCTGGGAGCGCCGTTGTGAGATCACGCAGTGGGGATGTTTGTTATTCTATTGTATATGTCCAGGAGAGGTTGCCTGTGGGTCCTCATCTTGGGTATCCCCTCCTATCCACTGAAGAGATTAAGGTTAGGAAGGGCGGGATCAGGATGGGTTGCTCACTCTGGCTTGGGGTGGAGCAAAAGTCTGGAAGCGACCCCACTCCACCTGCTCCTGGGAATTGGGGGCTTGGGAACTAGGCCACTGGGGAGGGAGCCATGAGCTCAGGCTGAGCCTAGAGGCAGTCAGGATGTGTTTGGTGTGTGGGGGCTCCTGAGCAAAGTCAGGGCTCCCTAAGACCTGGTGGGAGGCAGAAGTAAGGAGGGGGAAGGGCCGCTCATTCTCACTTCCCTCTCCCCACCTCAGCCCTGTCCCAGGCTCCCTTCTCTAACTAGTTGCCTGGTGGTCTGTCTGCTGTCAGCTCCCTTGCTGGACACTGGGTGACAGGCGAGTAAGGCCGTGCTTTTTCCCAGAGGCACTTTCCAGCCTGAGCAGGCTGGCACTGCAGGTCTGAGGGTGGGGGCTGAGGGAGGCACAGGCAGCAGAGCACTGCTGGGTGGTGGCAGGGCTCAGTTCTTATCCCTTCTACCTCCTTGACATCATTTCCTCTCCTGGCCAGTCATTAGGCCATACTTGCCAGATCCTCTACATGGCCCCTCTGAACAGTTCCTGGAAATCTTGGCTGCTGCCCCCTCCCAGGGGAAAGGCTAGGAGGGGTTTGGAGGAGCTATGGGGTGGGGTGGGGTCTGGTCTATCCTTGTGAAGGCACCTTGCTTGATTAGGGGAAAGGGAGGGACTCTGAGGGACACCTCATACTAGGCTAGGCCCTGGATACCCCATCCCTCCACCTGCTTTCCTTTCCCCAAACCCATGGCCTGCCTGGCAAAGCTGGGCCGAGCTGAGCAGATGGGGGAGAATGAGGAGACAGTCTCTGGGGGCCAGCTGGGGAGCCTGAGTTGGTGGTGGATCCCTGGACCCCTGCCAGTCTGACTGGGGGGACCTGCGTCTGTCTTTCCCCATTAAGTGTGTGTTTATGGATGAGGGTGGGACAGGCTCTTAGGGTGAGGTTCAGGCCCCAGTCCCTTCTCTGTTACACACACTGACGAGGAGGAGCCATGTGAATAATTCAGGCCAGTGGAAAATCCAGAAGTCAAATGGTGAAGTTGTGATGCATGTGTAGGACTTGATTGCTCTGCTGGCGTTTTTTGGCCTTTGCTCTGATTGGCGGAGTCTGACACTAAATGCCATTGAGCATCCCTAGGTACCAGGATGTAGAGGGTGGAGGCCCCGAGAAGGGTCTTAGAGGGCGTTCTGGTGGGGAAAGGAGTGGTGGCTGGGTACAAATCTAGGACAGCAGCACCCACTAGGGTTCAGCACCACCCCAGCACCCAGGAGCCCCAGTGTGTTTGTGCCTCACCTTCTTCCTGGGGAGGGATCGGCCTGTCCCTCATCTGCAAAGGCAGAATGTACTCGACCCAAGGTCACTTGACTAAGAACTTGGCTCCTTTGACCCCCCACCAGCAGGGGCATGAGTTCCACCCTGGGGTGACTGCCTTGGTCCCTGCTTGAGGCTGCCCAGGGCTAAAGATTTGGCTAAACCCACAGGCCTGGCAATGGCTATTGCAGGGTGTGCCTCCATCTAAGCACTGCCTCCATGGCCACGAGCTGGGTCCTGTCCTTAGTGAATGTCTCAGAGGCAAAGAACCTCAGACTGCTGAAAGTGATGGGCCACCTTCCCCAGAGACCCCCAGTCTTGATGGGAGAAGCACAGCCCTCCCTAGATCTAGTCACTTGGCCCTAGGGAGCCTCTTGGGCCTTTCATCCCTGGTGGGGAGTAGGATCCTGAAATCCTAAACTGCTCCTCGGCTCCTGGCCTGTGGGACCTATCTTGTGAGTGAGGGGTGGCCCCACCATGGCCCACAGCCAGAAAGGAGACGATGGAACTTTCTCTTTCCCCTAGGCAGCGTTTCTCCCATGCAAGGGTGGGTGGTGGGGGCTACTTTTCTAAGGAGGCTGTGAGAGAGGGGTGTACCCCTGCTTAAAATGGAGGTGGGGAGAAAGAGCAGGTTGAACCAGAGTTTCTGGCTGCTGCCTTAGCAACAGCGGAGGAGCAATGGCTGCCCAGCGACATAGGCCTTCTGCAATGGTGGGAAACCAGCCCGCTAGGCTTCGATTCGTGCTCTTGCTTCTCCCACGCCATGCTTAGGGCTGGGTGTTTTCCAGCCCCTTCAGGCCTTCCCCTGCCAGGGTTAGGGTTTGGGATGGCAAGGCACTCTTTCCAGGTCTGCCAGAGGTGCCATGCTTACGGCCCGCCATAGGATACCCTGATCTGTCTGAGCATGGAGGAACCCCTAACCTCGAGGCAACAGGATCAGGAAAGTTCCCCGGGCTGTTGTGCTTGAGGCTGAGTGATGCTGGCATCCCAGAGGAGGCTGGACCCCTTGGAGAACAATTTGCCTGGTGAGGCCTAGTACCCTGACCCTGGGGTGCCCTTCGCGTATGCCCAGGGGCATGGGCACTTGACCAGGCTGTGGGGAGGTCAGGACAGCCCCAAGCAGGGTGCGGACCCCGGGATCCTGCTTTCAGCTGGACGCCTTCTCCGCTGGGGCTGGTGGTGAAGAGCAGAGGTAGATGTTTCCATTCTGTTGTCCTGTGAGGGAGGCACTGTTTCCTTGACCAGAGTCCTTCTCTGGGGTGTGATGAAGTGTGGGGGCATGTAGCTGTGGGGTCTCACAGGCCCTGTGCCTCCTATCTCTGGGGTGTCTCAAACAGAGGATCCCAATGGAGTTGTGGCCATGTGGTCAGATTTTGGGCTGGGCAGAGGCTATGGGGTGACATTCCCAGCAGGCAGGGCTGGCACATGCTGACCTTGGAACCTAGGGATATGGTAGGCATGATTCACAGTGACATCTGGGGCCAGTTGGCAAAGAGCTGGGTAAGATGGGCAGGAGCAGGTGGGACTGCTCTTGGGGCCACCTCCACATTTTCCCTGGGCACATGGAGCCCTAGAAGGTGGCTTGGGCCTCCTGCCTCTGAGAGGGGCAGGGGTTCTCATGGGAAAGGCAAAGTATCGATAGCTTCCTGGGCTTTGGGGTCATGAAGCTTGGGGGTTGAGTTTTGTCTTTGCCACTTGCTACCTCTGTGATCTTGAGCAAGTTACCTACCCTCTCTGAGCTTCAGTTTTCCTCATGTGTAAAAAGAGAGTAATAATGGTATATGCTGGCTTCCTAGGACCATTGAAGTGATTACATGAATTAAGGGGATTAGATAGAGTGCTTAGCACAATGCCTGACACAGCAAGGGCTCAGTCAACACTCTCCCCTGTGAGGGAGGGGATGATGGTGGAACCGATCTGGTCCTCTCCATCTTGGAGCCCTTTCTAGGTGAGGGAGCCCAGACCCTACCTCTCCTCTCCCCTATCCCAATTACCAAGACCAACCAAGGTTGCTGTCTTTAGCCATCATGGGCCAGGCCGCCCTCCCTGCCATCATGCAGGTCAGCAACAGGGGGCCTAGACCAAAACTGCCTGGTGGCCGGAAACCACCAGAGGGAGGGCCTACCTCTCTTGGAGGGTGGGGCAGCGGTGGTGCTAACGGTAGCTTTGTGCATATGGGGAGCTGCTAGGGAGGCCTCCACTTCCCTCTGAGAGAGGGTGTGCTGGGGGGGGGGTTCCCCAGTGAGTAAGAGCTCAGTGTGGGCAACAACAGGAAGCGTAGGGTGCTGGGTGACAGGAAATAGGGCTGGCTGTTCCTTGTTCCTCAGATGGGGGACTGGGGCCAGGCTGTCTGTAGAAGACCCCTGGGGGCCAGAACCCACATTTTGCATTATCCCCAGTGTCCCTTCTTCCGAGGAAACTGAGTCTTAACAACTTGCCAGCCAGGTCTCCTTGGGCAAGCGGCTTAATTTCTCTGTGCCTCAGTTTCCCATTTGTGAAATGGGGATTGTAATGGTATCTACTTTGTAAGCTTGTTGTTGAGGTTTAAATGAGGTTTAAATGAGATGTAAAACACTTAGAATGGCGCCTAGCACAGAGTACGTGTTTTGGGAGTATTTATTATTATTGTTGTTGTTGTTCTCCTACCAGCCTGGCTTTTATGGGCAGTGCCTACTGCCCTGGTTCCCACCCTGCTTGCCCTTGTCCCTGCTGTGGGAAACCTTGAACCCTGATGGGAGAAGATGTTAGCTTTTTGGGGTTCTCAGCACCTGATCCTAGGCTGATTACCCAACAGCCCTCCTCTAAGCCTGGGATTGCTTATAAGAGCCCCAGAACATCTGTACGCTGGAATTTTGTAAAGTGGATAAAATTGGTTATTTTTGGAGATATGCTGAGAGCTCTAAAACCAAGGTTGAGGTCAGATATAGGTGT